TGTACGGCTTTTGTGTTATACTTGCATAGTTGTATAATAATGATATGTCGTTGTGTACGGCTTTTGTGTTATACTTGCATAGTTGTATAATAATGATATGTCGTTGTGTACGGCTTTTGTGTTATACTTGCATAGTTGTATGATAATGATATGTCGTTGTGTACGGCTTTTGTGTTATACTTGCATAGTTGTATAATAATGATATGTCGTTGTGTACGGCTTTTGTGTTATATATTTGCATATTTCTTATATCGGGATAAAAATAATTTGAATTACCGAAACTTGTATCGTCACGCTACCGTAGCTGGGAAAATATGACATTTAGTTACCCCATTCGTCCTCATACATGGCCAAGTGGTTAGGGAGCTAGACTCGCAATCTGCGGGTTCGAATTCCAGTCCCACCAAACATGATCTCCCTTTCAGCCGTTATAATGTGACGATCAATCCCACTATACGTTGGTAAAAGAGTAGCCCCAGAGTTGGCGGTGGGTGGTGATGACTAGCTGCCTTCCCTCTAGTCTTACACTGCTAAATTAGGGACGGCTAGCGCAGATAGTCCTCATGTAGCTTTGCGTGAAATTCAAAACAAACAAACAATCGTCCTCATAACTTACTCGACGACTTCATAAGTACGTTTTTTCATAAGCTTACCAACTTCACAAACACAAGTGTTTAAATACTTACATGCTTCATTATAACGCATCATCTTAATTAAATGTTCAATATTTGTAATTTATCCACGACTGTTTGTTTTATCTTATTGCACTAGTTTTGTTTGTTTGGTTTGTTACAAATATTGAAACTGGAAGTAAAGAGAGGAGCTAAAAGAAAGAGATGTAAGATTTAAAGAAGAATTAAGAACAAAAATAAATATTCACTGAAGACAAGATTGAAGCAACTTTTAGAGGCGTACAGAAGGATTAATGTAGTACGTAAATACATCTATGAAGTTTAGAAATAGTGTAATAACAAAACTGAAGAGATACAGAAGAGCACAAGTAAATATCAACAAAGGGCATCAGTGGAACGGACAAATATTATAACAGAAAAATCAATGAAGTAGAAAAGAAAATTAGTGACAGAATAAAACATCTAGGATTAAACTAGACCTCTCCCTGCATCTGCTAAATACTTCCATTCTCAAACATGTTGGAATATGGAATAAATAAACCCACTATTGCTGAGACATCTATGGCCACAGAACCTTCCTAGCTCCACATATCGGAGGGATATTTGGCACTATTTCCAGAATGAATGGTTGAAGTATTGAAAAACCAGATATTCATCTTGCTGCTCTTTTAAAAGGACTAAATTTAACATCATTGAGCAACTTTTCAGCTGACAGCTATAACGACTTTTTAGCACCTATGGCTGCCTTACCAGAAAACGGTTTAGTGTGACATATCAAAAGAAAGTTTCCATAGTAAAATTTAGAAGAATAGTGAGAAGGAAGGACGAAACTTTAGTCTAACTTGTAGAAAATGTGGCCCAGTTATGTTACCGAGAATTCGTTAGCATTTATAAAATCATAGATTCTATAATGGATGGTTATCCAAGTTAGATTAAAGTAAACTAGATGTACATCTTTAAACGAATCTATTCAGTTGGTGAAGGAACTTGAATTAATTAAAGCCACAGATAAACAACTAAAATTATGACCTCGTTAGATCAATAAGTTAAAAAACATCAGCTGTCTTTGATGAAGGCCTGGAATAGCTCAGATGATTCATTAGATAACTGCTAACTAAGAATTGGGGAAATTTGTTCGTTTGTTGTTAAGCACAAAGTTATACAATGGGCTGTCTTTGCTCTGCCCACTGCGGGTATTAGAACTTGATTTTCAGTGTTATAAGTCCATAACCTAACCACTGAGCCATTGGGAGGCAATATAGGAAAGTACAGAAGGTGTTTCAATTGTAACTTAAAAGGGCATAATACCAGGAACTGTAGACACAATCCTTTAATTAGATAGATTATTACTCAGGATGAAGGATGTAATCCACTTGATGGGTGTTTCAATTCTAACTTAAAAAGACATATTACTAGGAACTGCCTCTAAAGGACGACAGGAGAAGGAAACGTTACATTCCAGACTGTGGTGAATTTGTAATGAATCAAGGAGACGATATCTTAAGGATGAGAATATTATACCATCCTAAATAAAAATTGTTGAAAGAAACCAGTCCAGAAGTCAATGGATTTATTGATAGGAGGCCTTGCAACTTTTCTCTTATGACCCCCCTTTTCTATATATATATATCTACATTTTGTTGCACCCTATATAACCTATTTGTGTATATATTGTACGTGCCATTTTCATATGTTAATTGTTTATTACTGGAACAAAACAAAACATGACTCTGAAGTGTTGTGATAAAAACACTCAACATGGATTTCTACAGAGCGGTACAAGAAACAAACAAAAAGACAATTGTATCCCTGTAACTAACTGTCTACAGTTGTATCTTTGAAGCAGAAGACTTAGAAAAATAGAGATTACAAGCGGGATTCAATATCACATACCTAGTTATCAAACCATTCTCTCAACCTCTGAAGGCACGGCAGTGATTAATGATCTAGTAATTTAAATTGATTTTCTTGTTTTCTCACTTACACGTGTGTGTGACTAAAAAGGAAAAAAAAAGACAGAGATTTTACTAAGGCAAACTCTGTATCTGTTTTTATAACTATATCAGTCTCTTTTTCTCTGGGTTAAGTTTGATTTATTTAAATTACGTATAATTTCCTAAGGATCCTATTATTGTGATACTTAATTTGTCGGTCCAGTACACCTTGAGATACCAGTTTTTCTCAAATTATGAGAAAAAGCAAAGAAAACTCTGTATATTTTACTTTATTTTCACTATTATAGTGTTGTAGGGAGGAGTTGTAAAGTGGGAGTGCTTGGCTAGACATGTAACTTTTACAATAAGAGATTGAAAGTATAAAAAACTGCTAAAATCAGCTCCTGTGCTACCAAAAGTAGCTCAATTTACGGGGTCTGGGGGCATACCTCCAGAAAATTAATAACATATAATTTACAGTTGCTATACAAGTGAAATATGTAAAAGTGGGGGGTGCTATATCACCCCCCATTTCCGAGCCTCTGCTATAGTTTATTATGAATCCATTTTTACTTTTTATAAACTAATATATAATTCTACATATATAAAGGATTGTACAAACATTAGTACCAAATTTTCAATTTTTTAAAACTATTTTAATTTGTTTTTGCATTATATGAATTGAATTGTTAAAGGCTAATGAACTAGTCCGACAAAAAATAAGTTGATGGAAATTAAAAATCAAGAAGGCCGTGTAATATGTAGAAAAAAAAAAGGCAGGATATTAATAACATGAGCGATTTATATTAGTTGTGTCTTCAATCTTACTACACATGCTATATCTAGCCGCTTTTAACCTGCCACATACCAAGTCGCCTTTCATACAATGGAGGGACGACGAACCCGTGTATTACAAACCACATCTGTAATAAACATCATTAGTATTAACATTAGCACAGATTCTACAGTCTCGAACCAAAGCGTTAGGATAAAATAATAATTTGTTTTGCGGTCGGGTAAATACCCGATCTACCCTATCGTGTGCTACACCTCTGACTAATCAGTAACGACTAAGCCTCAGACAGTTAATGAGTAATTATTGAATTACTGATTGAGTTAGTTCTGTGATTCAGTGAGTTATTCAGTTCAATGGGAAGTTAAGATATATCCAATGGGTTGATTTAGTTCAGTGTTAGTAAAGAGTGTTATTTCGTTTATTGGCGAGAAAATTCCATAAGTAGGTTTATTTGCAAACATTAAGCACACTATTTAAAACAAGAAAAATGCTGTCACTCTTGTTGATAAGTTGTATCATAATATCGCAGTGATCTCGTAAAATAAACCATTTTTAATTCATAGCTTTGACTTTACGTGTTTTACCGCTTGATGTCTCGTAAATATTTAGGTATTTAAACTAACTTATTCTCTAAAGATAATATTATTGAGCGACCAATTTTTGGTATTAAATTTTGCTGTTCATTTATTTTAGCGCTAAATTATACAACGGACTGTTTACACTATTATTAATTTTGCAAATAAATAATTTTTTCATTAAAAATATTAAGATGTCATAAATAACAAGAGTTACTAAACACGTATTATATATTTACAAATCATAGCAGACAATGGTTAGTTTAAAAAAAGTAAACTTTGATAAGACACAAAACAACAACAACAAAAAAACGTGAAATTGCACAAACGAAATGGTCTTAACCTAATAATATAGTAATGTGGTAGATTCATTGAAGTCGCAAGGATGTTGGTGCGTGGATACTTTTGATTGGCCACGTTTACAACGAATGAGTGCGTTCCATCTGTAAGCTCTCGCGTGGACGAAAGCAGCCAACCTGCCGATGTGTAGAGCTTGTTAGCGCGTGGGGTATGGTTGAGGATACATCATTTACCAGTATTTAGATTTGTACCGTTTTTCTGTAATGAGCTTTAAAATGAAATATATACTCTCAACTCTTTTAATTCTCCCTGTGGTATTTTGTGAGTCAAACGTATATTTTAAAGAACAATTTAACGACGGTGGTAAGTAACCTGTTCATATAAGTTATATTCTATTTGTAAATCTAAGCTTCTGCGGTAACGTATATAGCATAATAATTATGATGTAGATTAATTCCAACTCTTGACATTGACGTTTCGTTAGTTTTCAATCTTTGTAAGACTATGTTGATGATAAACTAATGATGTTGCAAGTAACATCATAATTGTATAGTTTTAAGACTGTTGTAAAACTAAAAGTTGATGTGATTTTGAAAATCCATTATTGCATAGTAATTAATATAGTCAGCTTAGTGTTACTATTAGTATTAGACTTGACGACAAAAAAAAAGCTAATAAAGCCTGAGATTTCATTAGACAACTGAAACTTTATCATTGTTGGTAATGTTGACTAAACTGGAAAGATAAATTTAACGTTTACCCATGAACGAGCTGTTGCCAACAATTGGAAAATAATGTTAAGTAATATTTTGTACAAAAAAAAGGTTTTGAGAAACTGGCTTGTTACTGTTAGGGTTTTAGAACTTAATAATAAATCAAAGTGTGAGTGAAACGTGAAATAGAGATTTATGAATTTAAATACAATATTTGTAAGTTGTAGTTGTATGGAGCTTTTTAGTTTACAGTTTTCGGAATAGGAGACATTCTCTAGCTATGAGAGAAAACAAAAGTAAGAAGTTGTATAAAGTCGTTTGTTTACTGAGATAGATATACTTGTAAGTTGTAACAATGATACACCTCAACCATTTTGTGTCATGATAATAAGTGAAAAATTCAATTCGTTAGACACTTTCCATGGTGTGTAGTGTGTACTATATAATCAGGGTCAGGGCTTTTTTCTGCTGTAAGCAAGATGAAAGAAAAATCCCATCCCTGGCACAACCCATACACTATTATCATCTATAAATGCAACACATTACATTGACAAAATATAGCGAAATATAGTAAGTTTTCACTTAATCAGGAGTGTCTTTATTTTTCTTTGAACTGTTTAGCTTTGGCCAAACTTGATTTTTGGCCTGTAAAGCTACTTATTTAACCTTTTTTTTTATTTAGAAGAAGCTTATTCTGTGTTAAAGTTGATAATACTGTGATGTTTATGAACACCATTTCAAAATCTCAGTAAAAGATGTGAGAAATAGATGATTCTGTGGAAAGTAAAATTAATATAATTTTTTTTTAATGTTACTACACTAGGCAGTTGCCTAACTACTAAAGCTGAGCATGTATATTGTGTGTGTTTGTATTTATACTTTATCTTGTGCTAAGTTAATGAATGAAGGTTTTAAATATTAACATTAATTTTTAGATAAATGGGAAGAAAGATGGGTTCAGTCAGAGCACAAAGGCAAAGAATGGGGAAAGTTCGTGTGTACCGCTGGAAAATTTTATGGTGACGAGGAGCTCAATAAAGGTAAGAAACTTGTTTGGGTGGCAAAACTTGTTATTATACAATAAACATTGGATTTCATCTGAAAATAATACATAGCTTTTCATAAGTTGACGGAGACAGTTTCTGTCTGTGGAGCGAAAATACTGGTTGATATTTATATAAAACACACGTTTAAATAAATTGAAGTTAATTAAACTGATCACTTGTGTTTTTTATTGCTGTTTACAATAGATACAATTTGTATCAGGCAAATATTGAAGTGATATTTCTCCATTAATTTTTGAGTTACTTATGTGATAACTTGGATACAAATTCAAGAGTTAGATGCTAGTTAAATACAAAGTCTTTTATGGTATAACATGGTAACTAAGAAATGTACGAAAGCTACAACCAAATAAGAAATGTCATATTTTTAACTCGGGTTAACCGTACGACATTTTTCATGTTGAAATAACCGATACATTGTTTTTTTACCTACTATTCAGGAATCCAGACATCTCAGGATGCAAGATTTTATGGTATATCAAGTAAGTTTGATGCTTTCAGCAATGCAGACAAGACGCTGGTGGTACAGTTCTCGGTAAAACACGAACAGAACATTGATTGTGGTGGCGGCTACGTGAAAATTTTTGATTGCAGCTTAGATCAGAAGGAACTTCATGGAGAGTCCCCTTACCTGCTCATGTTTGGTAAGATGTCGTATTTGTACACTGAATAAAATTGGACAGTGTTTAGTTTTAAAGGATTATTAGTGCCCCGAGATGTAGGTACTTTTCTAGATGTCATAAAAGATACGGAGAACACGAGGTTTAATTGATAGGCTGATTTGAAAGAAAATTGACACAAGGAAATAAATGCACGGTGGGAAAAATTTAGGAAGAAATTCCAGAAATGATTCCATTTTTTTTTTATTTATTTTTTATTAATAGTTGTAGTTAATCTTGTGTTTCTAAAGTAAAGTGAGTTGTACTATGTGATCGATTAACGTAATAAAATTTGGTCAGTTAAGTATAAACGAGAGTTCGAGTTATTTATTTACAAAACCCTTGTTTATTTTACCATATACATGTGCATTATCTTTTGACGTGGTAAAAAAAACAATGCTTGGCAGATTAAAAATATCAAGAAGTGCATGAAACATTTTATTTCTGTTGATTAACTTTGATTTTAGGTCCTGACATTTGTGGTCCTGGAACCAAGAAAGTTCATGTTATATTTAACTATAAAGGAAAGAACCTGCTCATTAACAAGGATATTCGATGCAAAGTAAGTGGAGTTGATTGTCCATGAAGATTTAAAAAAAAAGATTAGTTTTCTGAAACCCTTCACTCGATGTTTGACTGATTTATCACAAATACCAACTTTTCGGGTTTTATTAGTTACATAATCAATCAAATTATTCACTTTCAAAGCCAGTAGATCGGTGTTCTTTGTGTCGTTTAAAGGTGTAAACATAATGTTAATTGATCTTGATTTAATTCGGTAAGTAAACCTACTCACTAAGCAGAAAGCTGTAATATGATTTTTTTTGTTTGTTTTTAATTTCATAAGCTAGACCTATTTTTCCATCTACGCTAGTTTCTATTTTCCTATAGCTTAAATAACACAGGCTTTGCTTAAATAACACAGGTGATGGTTTAATTGTCTTGAAATTTTTAAATGTTCTACAGTAATTCCTGTACGCTCAATCCGAAAATGATATCCATTTTTCTCCATCACGTACAGATTTTTCACAAAACGTCACGTGTACTTTTACATAAGCGAACCATTTTCATTGAAATCGGGTCACATTTTGTCGTGCTTAAAATGTTGACAACCACTGGCTATAGATTTCTCTAGACCAAATGCGACATGAGCCTTATTGATTGTTCTAGAACGTACAGGAAACACGCCACTAGTATATAAACGGTTAACAGGTCACATGATGTGTCATTTCTGGATAGTATTTGTTTGTGTGTGTGCACTTTGACATTATTATTTTTTTCTTTTTGATATTACTTATTTGTTGCTATGGCAACAAGATATTGTGTAAATGGCCCAAACATAAACATATTCTGTTACATTTGTGGTAAATTTGTTGTAAAGAAACAGAGGCAAAAACATTACAGAATTTGTCAAAAAGCTTATTACGCTTATTTTGGAATAAAACTTGTTGATCAAGACAAATCATGGGGTCTACACATTTGTGTCAAAGTGTTCAGACAATGGACTATAGGTAAGAAAAAGTCTTTGCCATTTGGGGATTCCAATGGTCTGCCGTGAGCTTAGAAACCACGGAAATAACTGCTATTTTTGCTCATGCAACACTCAAGCCCGGCATGGGCAGGTGGGTAGGACGCTTGACTCGCAATCTGCGGGTTCGTGGCCCCATCCCACCAAACATGCTCGCCCTTTTAGCCGTGGGGGCGTTATAATGTGATGGTCAATCCCACTATTCATTGGTAAAAGAGTTGGTGGTGGGTGGTGATGACTAGCTGCCTTCCCTCTAGTCTTACACTGCTAAATTAGGGGATGGTTGGCGTCAGGAAGGGCATCCAGCCGTAAAAACCCTGCCAACACCGAAAATAGCGACCCCGTGTAGATACGGGAAAAAGCTACGGAAGGAGAAGAAGAACATGCAACACTCAAAATAAAAAGAAAATTTCTTATCCGAACCTTCAGTCTGCTATAAGACCTGTTGCTCATGGACCTGATGTACCTGTACCTACTCCACCAGACTCTTGATACAGTTTCATCTGATGTCAATAGAAATGATGATAGGGATTGTTCTGAACGTGAAACATCTGGTGAACTACAACTTTTCACACGAGGTAAACTTAATGATTTGGTGAGAGATTTTGGACCTTCCAAAGGATTCTTCAGAAATTTTTGGGTCCAGACTTCGGGCTAAGAACTTACTTTCTCCAGGGACATCATTTTACTGGTACAGAAATCGTGAGAGTTTATACCATACCAGGTTCACTGGTTTATTGCAACAATATTGCTGGATTAATACCAATGCTAGGAGCTGCAGTCTATGAACCAAGCGAGTGGCGATTGTTCATTGATTCCTCTATAAGTTGTTACCCTTCACAATCGTAACATATATGCATCTGTTCCTGTTGCTCACTCGGTTCACTTGAAGGAAACATACGAAAATCTCAAACTTCTTAATAACGTCAAATACAAAGAACATGGTTGGCTACTTTTATGGAGACTTAAAAGTCCTTTGTGAGTTATTGGGTCAACAATCCAGTTATACAAAGTTTGCATGTTTTTTGTGTGAATGGGACAGCAGAGCACGAAATCAACACTATATAAATAAGCAATGGCCAGGCAGAGACAGCCTAATATCAGGATCGAAGACCATTGAATGTGAAAGTTTGGTTGACACAAAGAAAGTCCTGTTACCTCCACTTCACATAAAACTGGGCTTGATGAAGCAGTTTGTAAAGGCCTTAGACAAAAGAGGCAACTGTTTCAAGTATCTATGTGGGCAATTTTTTTTTTCAGATTTGTAGAAAATCCATACGCGATAGAAAAAAAAAATGAATATTAATTTTTTAAATCTGTGTAGCTGAATTATGGAAAATCCGGTTATTAAAACCAAAATAACTTTTATGAAGTTTAAATTTGCAGGCCTGTGTAATATTTGTCTCACAGAAAGGGACTTGCATTTGCGTAAGTGCCGTAGTTGCTGCTTTATTAACTTAAGTTTTAGTAAAGTGTTCTTTTGTGTACTTTATTTTAAACTGAGCAAATTTTTACAAGTTACTGATGTTTGAAAAATTCAGTTTTGATATTATGAGTACTGTCAATAGGTTGATAACATTATGCTATAATAATAATATTTGGAAATACCTTTTGTTAATATTTTGCACATTCTAGGATGACGAGTATACCCACGTGTACACGCTGGTTGTTCGTCCAGACAATACCTATGAAGTAAAAATTGATAATGAGAAGGTTGAGAGCGGAGAGCTGGAGAAAGACTGGAATTTCCTGCCTCCCAAAAAAATCAAAGATCCTGAAGCTAAGAAACCTGAAGATTGGGATGATCGGGCCAAGATTGATGATCCTGATGACACCAAACCTGAGGTAAGATTTGAATCTGCAGAAAATGATCATATTTATAGTTACATATGACATGGCTCGTTATAATATAACCTTTAGTCGGGTAAGTTTGATGTGGGAAAAACTGACTAAAGGTAGATCATGTTAATCATTGCTAACATGATTGAAAAATGTAGTTCTTTAATAGAATGTTTAGCTGCAGTTTAATTGTTAAAATCAAAGTTACTGCATCACAGACACCTGTAGAAGTTTAAACATTTCACTGTTATTCTTTACATATCTTATGTTTCATGCACAATGATAATTATATTGATTTTAAATTTAATAGGATTGGGATCAGCCAGAATATATCCCCGATCCTGATGCTACCAAACCAGAAGACTGGGATGACGAGATGGATGGTGAATGGGAACCACCAATGATAAATAACCCAAGTTACAAGGGTGAGTGGAAACCACGACAGATCGATAACCCTGACTACAAAGGTCCATGGATCCACCCTGAAATTGATAATCCAGAATATGTACCCGATTCAAAGTTGTACGAGTACCCAGAGATCTGTGCTGTTGGGGTCGATATTTGGCAGGTAAGTTGGAGTTTCATTATTATTGTACTGTTTTCTCGTATGCAATTGGCACAGCGGTATGTCTGCGGACTTACAACGGTGGAATCCGGGTTTCGATAACCGTGGTGGGCAGCGCACAGATAGCCCATTGTGTAGCTTTGTGCTTAATTACAAACAAACCTATGTAAGTGGCACAGCGGTATGTCTGCGGACTTACAACGGTGGAATCCGGGTTTCGATACCCGTGGTGGGCAGCGCACAGATAGCCCATTGTGTAGCTTTGTGCTTAATTACAAACAGACCAATGTAAGTGTAACTATCAAACTGTTTAAAGCTATAAAAAAAAGTGCAGTTTTCTTTTTGAAAAGGTATTTATATTTGGACCAGTCTTATTCCCAGGTCAGTGTCGTTAGTTGAATAAAAAAATTATCATTTTATAAATTGTTGAACATGGTATGGTGTTATCATCATCAGTATTCTGTTGTAGGCAGGTTTGGAACAAAATGTTTCCGTTAGCCACTTCTTCTCTAGCAGCATCTCTTTTATACCTGTTTTGATAAAAGAGTTAGCACGAAGAATCAAATATAAAGTGTAATAGATTTAAAATAAGACCCAAAACTCGGGCCTTATTTTAAGTCCTTTATACCTGGTCACTTTCCCTTTCTTCTACCACCTCTGTCAACCATGTGCCCAGTCCATTTCTTCTTTTGCTGGAAAATAATGTTCCAGGAAACGTTGTTTTTTTTTGCACCATCTATAATACTTCTCCATTTAGTTTCTTTACCGTCCAACTGATTTTATCCATTCTTCTCCAAATTCTCATTTAAAAACTTCTGAAGTAGCTCTTCCTCAAAGTCCGTGTTTCCAGTTTGTATCACCACTTTCAATAAAGGTTTCCCTTTGTTTTCTTTTTTTTCCTACCCAATATTTTTACAAAAACAACTTTTTAAATGTTTCCTTTCCCTGTTCTTTGGAGCATTTTTGCATCTGCTGCTATAATACTTTTAAAATATTTAAAAAAAAAACTGTTGCACCTCATCCAGTGTTTGTTTTTCTACACAGACGTTTGTGCTTTCAGTGTCATTTTATGAAATCTTCATTACTTTTGTTTTATTCATCACTAATTCCTTTTGTTGTTTCATTAAAATTTTCTACCTGGTTTGTAGCTCTTCCTTAAAACGTGCAATCATGGCTATAGTGTGCACACCTGACTGCCTTGGTTTTCTTTCCTCCAATCTTCTTCAACTCTTCCCCCGCTTCCTGCATCATATAGTAGGTGATAATGAGCAGCCAAGACCGATTCCCTTTCGTACTATCCCTTCCTCTAATGATATTCTGTTATTAATCATTACCATAATTCTGACTTAGATATATAATTGATAATAATTAAATAATCACTTACTTAACCTAGTTCGCACCATTACAGCCATTGTTCTTGAAACAGACAATAAAAATAGTGCCTATATCACTACTTTGTCTATTGTATCCCAGCCAACCTTGACGAGTCTTAGTACTGGGCAAAATGCTCCTTTGGCGCTGGACATGGCAGACTATTACATGTTCTTCTTTACTTTCGGTGATTGATTCTTAGGACCACTACTGGATGCTCTTCCAAATGCCTCAGCATAGATATTAAAGAAGTAGTAATAATGAGCACCGTCAACTCTTACATAGGTGTCCGTCTTTCCAATCATTTTCAGCAGTTGCTGTAGTTTTGGCCAGCAAACCATATCCAATGTATTTGTCAAATCCAAAAAGGCTACAAACACATTTTGATTGTGTGTTCTAATCACTCCTGAAGCCAAACTGATCGTTTTTGGTTCTAAAGTCTTTACGTTTTAGTGGTATTGTAACAGTCTTCACAAAATCTTCAGCCCATTTTCCCCTTTTCGTTGATTTTGTTACATGGTTTAATCACCTAATTTTGTTCTTTTATATCAATTCTGCTGTTATTATATTCCCTCTGTCTACTTTTATTGGCTTCAAGTCTTTTTTTTTCTTAATCTCAACTGGTCTGTTCCAGTAAATAATCTATACCTTCATAAATGTACTGACGGTGTTTTTGTTTCGTAATTTTCTGTCCATCTTATTAAAGGAAATGACAGAAAAGACAAAAAGTTAAGCAAAATGTAATAAAACTGAAGTGTATCACTAGACTACTATTAATCTGTAAGCTAATGAACCCAAGGCAGACTAGTTTAAGAATATCAACTGTATAATCTAAAAATGTGTGTCGGGTAAACATGGGATGACGACACGATTCTGTAATATTGGACAGCTTCATCTTAACCTCATTGTAATTTCTTTTTTCTCAGTGCTCTTTTTTTTAATAGAGATGATATATGAAACTGTTTATAACAAATCTGGTCTGGATAGTGCTTACAACATGACCAGTGGGTATTATGACTTGGAAATTGTCATTGTTAATGCATAAAGTAAAATTTTCTCACTAATGTTTCAGGTCAAATCTGGAACAATATTTGATGATGTACTCCTCACCGATGACCCAGAATATGCAAAGAAGTTTGCAGAAGAAACGTGGGGAGCTACAAAGGTGGGTTAGTTTATTTCACTTTGTGAGGTACATGTTGAATTATTTGTGTTTAAACAGTTCATGTCCTACATCTTGTATATACTTTTTTTTTATATTTAATATTTTGACATTTGTCCTCGATGCATCTGTTCTTTAATAGGAATTGTTTGTAAAGTGAATTTAAACTTTATTGTTCAACCATATACTCAGCTTTACGAGCTAATTGATATAGTCCACTAACCCTAATTCGTAATAACTAAGGTTTGTTGTATTGCAGGTGAGGTAATATAAAATATCTACATAGCTATCTGGTTTGAGGTTCGGAATCCTCCTTTGTATCGGTTTCCGCTTGTACAGAAAAGATTCCTACAACAAAGTTTTGGCCAGTAGCAGAACTGTTACAGAAAGTGTTATGTTAATACAGCTATCACCTTTCGGCAGTGAATATTCCAACTAATAAATGGGAACTTGCCTAAAAATTCGTGTTATTGGACACGATAATTTACACGGACATTTAATGGTATCAAATCAAACTTGCTCGGTACTGTGTAACAAATTTACACGAACCTTGTATATTCTATAAAATACTGGCCTGGTTTGAATCTTAATTGAGTTGTGTGTCACGTAGCAGCAGCCTTGATACTTTGGTGAGAGTCGAGTAGGGGCTCATCACTCGACTCGACGACATTAGAAAAGTAATTGGAAGTGAGAAGCTAGAAATCAGAAAGTTGCTTCAGGGTAGTGAAGATATAGAGAATAATGGAAATCTACCCTCAATATGGGAGGGGGTGGTATTATGATTGTACGTATATATTCGTCTTTATATTTCTGTATTAGTTCAAAAATCATGTATTAGTAACACCCGTTTTTTTAAAGGATGCTGAAAAGAAAATGAAGGAAAGCCAGGATGAAGAGGAAAGAAAGAAGGCTGAAGAAGAAGCCAAACTGGCCAAAGAAAATGAGGATGAAGAGGAGGAGGACGAGGAGGATGAAGAAGAACCTGAAGAAGGAACCGAAACTTCAGAAACAGTTGAGGTACAAATCTTTTCTTTTAATTCCAAACAGTCATTATGTATTTTAAGAAATTTCAGTGATATTGCATTAAAAAACATTTAATGTTTTCAGGTACAGTCTTTATTCAAAAACATGTCATGTTTGTCTGGTTGCTGTTAATACTTTATCACACAAGTTAACATTAACAATGGACACTGATCCAGGTTTATCAGAGAAAGAACCTAAGGTGTACTGAAATAAAAGAAATGTTTAATGCAGAAAAGTAATTGGAGCTTCCAGTAATTACAAAATCAAACAAATTATAATACAAATTATAGGGTTGACTCGGTTTAATGTTTACAAAGGCAGTCATCTTGACCTTGCCCAAGAAAGGTTGACTCGGTTTAATGTTTACAAAGGCAGTCATCTTGACCTTGCCCAAGAAAGGTTGACTCGGTTTAATGTTTACAAAGGCAGTCATCTTGACCTTGCCCAAGAAAGGTTGACTCGGTTTAATGTTTACAAAGGCAGTCATCTTGACCTTGCCCAAGAAAGGTTGACTCGGTTTAATGTTTACAAAGGCAGTCGTCTTAACCTTGCCCAAGAAAGGTTGACTCAGTTTAATGTTTACAAAGGCAGTCAGCTTCACCTTGCCCAAGAAAGGTTGACTCAGTTTAATGTTTACAAAGGCAGTCGGCTTCACCTTGCCCAAGAAAGGTTGACTTGGTTTAATGTTTACAAATGTCAACTGCCTCAGATTTGTAGTAATAACCTGACAGCCTACCTACCAATATGTTTATCGGTTGCCAGTCAATCATTGAAAACCTAAATCTGTAAACTATTACTTCTCTTATGCAATATATTGAAAATTGAAATGTTCTACCAATCTTTTCTGTGTTATCTATTTTTTTTTAAAAGTGCATATTTTCTTATGAAAAATTCATGTTAGGTGATGTGGTACCTGGGTAGCCCAGAGCTTTGGTAAATCCTGCATATAATAGTTATCAAAGTTACTGGATCCCTTTGTCAGGTTTTATTTAATAAATGTGTAAAACTTTAGCTTCCTTCTATATGCCTCGTCTTCAGAGTACTTTTTTTTTCTTTTCAGGAAAGTCATGAACATGAACACGAGGAGTTGTAATACATCGTTGGTGTGGTCATTCATTCTCCTATCCTGTACATAGGTCAAACATGGACATAGCATAGAAGCTTTAATGATATAAATGTTTCTCTTCTTCATCTGGTGAATATTTATCGGTCATAGACAGACTCCTACATGTACTTTTATGCACTTACTTTCTCTGTACTGTGGGAACAAAAGTGTAAAAGATGCGTGAATAAAGAAGTTGGTGTTCTCTTTGTTGTTGTTGTGGTTTTTGAATTATCGTCATAAAACCTAAGTTAGAATAGGTAACACATGAAATGTATATATACAAACTTAATAACAATTATTCAAATGTGTTTATGCTACACTGAACAAGTTCTAGCACCACAAGCAACAAGTTTAGTAAATATGTATTTTTCTGACATCCAGTTTTTGGCCAACGGGTGGTTCAATACCCACAAGACTAGGACTTGTGGGTGGAGGATCATGTTAGAGGAAGTATTGAGTAAAATTAGTATAAAATATATAATTGAAGTAGGTATCATCGAAATAGCCTTTATTAAATGTACTTCATTGAAGTGGGAAACACTTGCTAGCAGGAACACATTATGAAACCAATCAAGAGCAACAACGTCACGTGAAAAGTGAAGTCTTTGTTTATTGGACGAAAAAAAAAAACCTTGAAGGTGGTATATCTCCTGGTATGATTATGAATGATTTGTTTATTGTTTTCATGTAAAAAGGTGACTAAAGAAATTTAAATCATGGTAATTTCAATTAACCACCTATAAAGTCTTGAATTTTGCAGTCCAGATATGGATTGAAAGCCAACACCCGTTCAGTTGAGACAAAAAAAATTCAAATACTTTTATTATTTTTTTTCCTTTGAACTTGACTGTAAACGAGTAAACTACATTGAAATCCCATTTTAACAGGACTCCTACTTGATAGCAGGTTGGATCTTAATCTGCCAGGATAAATACCATGGTACAGTTCCATAAGGTGTCTTGTTTAATCGTAGCTACATGGTTGCTAAGGATCACATAGGAAAACTATCTACAAATTCATCTTAAAAATGCTCAATTAGATCAAAATCCAACGATTGTGCTAGTCAAAAAAAAAGATGACAGAAGTCACTGTCTTCTTCTTCAAACAGCACTAGTGTGAACCATTTTGGAAGAGCTTCTTCCATCGTGGAAGAAATGTATATTTTGGGTGAACATGATTGGCAGCAACGCTAATGTACTTCCTGAATGTTATTTTGACTTCTAAAGGAAACGGAAGACCCAACCCCTTTTTTACCAGAATGTTTTCACACCTTTACATCCATTCCAACACCTTGCACTGTCAGAAGAACACCTATTTACATGACTGGTGTTTTTCTCCATATTTTCAATATAACAAGAGTTGAAATGGATTGGTGCGAGTTTAGATCTTTCTGGACTACTTATCAGGTGTCGTAGGTCAACTTCTGTAATGTCTTCCCCATTGTATGAATGGACATAGTCAGATACTGAGTAATGTTGAAAGAATCTGTAAAATTTGGATAAAGCCATTTTATCTTTCATACTAAATCCGGAAAATCTCTGATACTGCATAGACTAACAAATATCTTAGTAGAACCACTGGAAGGGAGCATTAAGTCAAAAAAAAGTCGCCCCTCCTCCTTCTATTTAACCAAAACAAAATGTTAATAAGATACCCGCAACTACATTTTTTGTTTCTTATTCATTTGCTTTCTAAGTTACTGTAATACGGTGTAGATTGTGTCCCTTTGGCAAAATTTTGAAGGGACAAATAAGTAAAATAAGTCCCTAGAATACAAACGGACCATCTCCACGACGTCGTATAGAAACATACAGGTAAATTGTTTTTTTTTTTGTTTTTTTTGTAAAAACTAGAAGTACAAACGGCCATGCCACAAACCAAAATAATCTCGGGAATTCACCGTATTTTCACGAGATTACATGTTAAGACGAAGGTAGGGTGGTCAAATCGGTTAGAAATCGTCAGTTACTTGTAGTACTGTTGTTCATAGCGAATAGGGTAACATTATTGAAGTTCCAGTCACGTTGAAAATAAACAATTTCAGGGCAACCCCCAAACTAGCCTGTGAGGAGAACGATCCACGTCAAACGGTTGTTACTGTTTCAGGGCAAGTTCAACTGTGCTCCAATATTTTCGAGAGTTAACTTCATAACATGAGCTACAATAGAAGAGTGACTAGATGGAAACCATTCCTCATTTCAGGCAATATCGTATGTCGACAGCATTGGACATCAAATATGATGTCATACCCTCCTGCCTTTTGGGACGAGACCCTATGTGTACGTTTCTCATAGAGTGGATACTGAAAACTTTCGTTGAAACGTCTGCAAGCCACAAAAACAAAAAGTGGTGGTTAGGGCGTTCGACTCGCAATCTGTGGGTCGCGGGTTCGAATACCCGTCACATGAAACATGCTCGCCCTTCCGGCCGTGGGGGCGTTATAATGTGACGGTCAATCCCACTATTCGTTGGTTTAAAAGTAGTGGTCAATTTTTTATTGTTCTATGTGAAAGCATACCAAAAAACGTTTTCGCCGGATGTGGGGTACAATTCCACAGGCCCAGATGTGTAAACGTGTTTGTTATAATCATTCCAAGGGGCAGATTAACTAAATATTAATGATAATTTTTTACCCTTTGTTTATTTAATAAAACGGCATTGTTTATGGAATAGATGTTTAATTTTTTTTAAAGAGGAAATCAAATACAATTAATTTTAACGAAATGAAAACGCATAAAAAATTGAGTACTTTAATAACCTGAATGTAATAAAATTAAATTATTGGAAGTGTAATAGGTCTGAAGTTAAAGCACTCGACTCAAGGTCGTAGGTTCGAATCCCTTCATAAAACATGCCTTTTTCAGTTGCTGGGGCATTATAATGTGACGGTCAATCCCACTATTCGTTGGCAGAAAGAGTAGCCCAAGCACTGGCGGTGGGCAGTGTTATCTAGCTGCTAGTGGTGTAACTACAGAAGATACCCCCCTACATAAAAAAAGTAATTGGGTCCCCTAAATTTATTTCCTTTTAACTGCAGTTACAATCAATATCATTAAATTAACACAACAGTACAATCATCCTTTAGTTCAAACACGATAAGTTGGATGTCTCTCCCCTTGTCGGCAATTCTTAAGTTTGTCAGGCCCTTCAAGTCCCTTTTTGGCTAGGGCCCCCTCGCAATTGCAGGAACATACTTACTCCACTGCTAGCTGCCTTTCCACTTATCTATCACTTCAATGTTAGGGATAACTAACGCAGATTCCCTGGAGTAGCGAAAATCAACGAATGAACACAGCAATTGTAATATAAACTCACAAGCAAAAGTACCCGTCCCCAGTGATGGGAAAAATTAGAGTTAATCTATCAATTTAAATTATTTCATGGACTTTAAAAAGATTAGTTGGTTGCACCTATACCGCTCACCAGGAAAATGATTGTTGAGCATTTCAGTCATGCTAAGAGCTGCTCAACAACATACGGTAAATTATATTTTTTATTCCTTAAGTTACGTCACATTTTGAAATGTGAATGATAGTGTGATTAATTCCCAACAATTTAGTGTAGAATATCCTACTTGCGAAATAAAATTTGGCATCAACATTATTCATTATCCTCGTTTCAAAAGTATGTTGAGCTTTGCCTGCGTGCGAAGCTTTTCAAACGAGAGACAGACGAACACTCGGACAGACACCAAGGTTCGCAATATATATATCTATTTGTATCTTGCTATTGTCGGGAGGGGGACTGATATTCCTTATTTTCTTTTGCACGACATGGCGCCACATAGCAGTGTAAAATGCAGATCGCTTATTGAAAGCAGAGTCAAAGTCTGGACGTTTATAAGTCACGAATTTACTTCTGTGTTTGGTCCAACATAATAGTTGTTGGTAGTAATTCATTCGAAAACACCAAAGTTATTAAGCCTAAGCCGGGCGAAGTTTGAGGGGTGGGATGATAAATTATCCAAATGCAGCAATAATTAGATTAGAAAATTCTTTCACTCTAGTGCTCCACAAAGATTACACTTTGAATTGTAAATACCCCCTCCCCCCCACCGCCAATTCTTGGGGTACTGTAATCGAATAACGGGACTTTGTCGTATCTTTTCCAACTCACCCGCGACCCCAAATTGCGGAGCGCGATTCTGCGGCAATGGGACATGAAGCACGACATTTAATGTTATTTGTAGCACGACGAGAAAAGCTGGTGTAATAGGAATACAACTAGATGAACGACAACAGGAACAACCAGTAAAGTCATTAAAACATTAACACTAAGATTACGTGTGGTCAACATTGTTTTATAGATGGCAACCACATTGTACAGTTTCTTATTAAAACTTGATAAATATGATTGGTAATATTTCCTCATCTTTAATAACAGTTCATTATAACTGGTTTGTTTTGAATTTCGTGGCTGGCTATCTGCTCTAGCCTCCCTAATTTAGCAATGTAAGACTAGAGGGAAGGCAGCTAGTCATCACCACCCACTGCCAACTCTTGAGCTACTCTTTTACCAACGAATAGTGGAATTGACCGTCACATTATAACGCCCCCACGGCTGAAAGGGCAAGCATGTTTGGTGTGAGAGGGATTCGAACCCGCGACCCTCAGATTGCGAGTCGAGTACCTTAACCACCTGGCCATGCCGGGCCAATTCATGAATGAATGATACTAGACTCACTAGAGGGAAGGTATCTAATCAACATTGCTCACTGCTAACGCTTGGACTGTTATTTCATCGACGAATAGTGGGAATGACTGTCATATTATAACGCCCCCACGGTTGAAAGGGCGAACATGTTCGGTGACGGGGAATCGAACCTGCGACCCCGCAGTTTGTGTGAATAGCACTAAAGATAGTGCGCTTTATATTAGGTTTATTTAAAGTATTGGGTATAATTAAATACTGTTAATCTGCCAATCGAAGGGGTGATCAAAATTACGAAATTGAAAATATAATTTGCTGGTTTCGCCAATTTTTCCCGATATCATCTATAGTTCTATTAATTTTTTTATATATATCTATAACATCAAACTGTCCCTCTGTCTGGTGTCTTGTCGTCACAAGTTGTTGTGAATCACTGACTGAAGCAATTTCGATTAAATTTGGTAAAAGACTCCGATAAATGAACAAGCAATTGGATGAACGGGTCGATTTTGGAAGTCATTCCAATATTTGCTACGTTAGTCCTAAGAACCAAAGC